ACCTAAGAACGTCTTAGAGATATGTAGCTTCTTGGGATTAACTTGATATTACTGTCATTTTATTGAGGGTTTCTCCATCATTGTAGCTCCACTAACGAAGTTGTTGATGAAGGATGTCCCATTTGTCTTATCTAAGGATCAATAATGCAGTTTTCATAAACTAAAGAATGTTCTTATTGAAGCCATAGTGTTGATTCAGCATGTGTTTGAGAAAGATTTTTAAATTTACAATGATGCTTATTATTTTGGACTGGGTGTTCTGATGTAGGATAGGAAGATTGTAGATTATGTGTTCTATTGGTTAAAGATGCATGAGCATAATTATCCCACCTATGATCAGGAGTTAGTTGTATTAGTTTTTGCACTGGAGATCTAGAGACATTATCTATAAAGAAAAGTGTTGTATCTGTACCAACCATAAGAATCTGAAGTATTTTATTACTTAGAAAGAGTTGAAATTGAGATACCATCATTGGTTGGAGCTTTTAAAGGACTATGATTATAAGATAGAGTATCATTCGGGCAAGGCCAATGCGGTAGCTAATGCCTTAATTCGTATCATATTTCTTTTGATATATAGATATACGAGATAATTAAAATTATACATACATATCATATATATATTAATCTTAATTTATGTATTTTAATTTAAGTACAATAAAATTATACACGTGTACCTTATTACGATTTGCTCATCTCAACCCTTGGGTTTGACCCTGTAGGTTCCTATAACGTTAGTAGTAATATTAGAACCATTCTAACACTACAAACAATAAGTGAAATCTAGCAATATATCATTTGTCATCTAAGTTACAAGAAGTCATTATTCGACATAACATCTTCGTGACCAACTCTTTTATTTATTATATTCTTTTATCCTTTATATATAGAATAGGCACAAGTCTCAAAATAGTCACACTTGTATAGCCCATTTATTCTTTCTTGATTTCTAGAGTAGACTATAATGAACGTATAATTTGTAATATCTCATATCAACTTATTCGAGCATGGCCATGCATTTTTAGTTTCACTCAATCAAGTGGCATGTGATATGTTTCCTATTATGTAGGAAGAACAAATCCTATCTTGATCATTCATACCCACTACATCTATCATGATAAGTTCAATATCAGTCTTTATAATGCAACTAGTTATGTAGCATGTTTAACTGTATCAAAACATACAATGATATATGGTGAGATAATAATGATCTCAAGTCTGAGGATTATACATATAATCATCAATATGAGCAATGTTATGACCGTCACATAATAATCCAAGAAATATTCTCATAGTGGGTCAGTCCAATATATTGTTCTCGGGCAATATATTCACGCATTGATTCTGACATCTTTATGTCAATGACAACACATTGTCATCAGTCAACAACATGTTAGCCTTAAACGTATTATTATTGTCCATGCCAATAATAATACATGACTAAGGATCTTAATAATAATCATATTATTGTTATATGGACTTTATTGTCTTTCAGTTTATGTTAGATACAGAAATACAACTGAAAATAATAGTGGTAATGCCTTTATTCAATAAAAACTGTAAAGAAAAAGTATCATTACAAGCATCTCATGGTTGGTCTTTGGACATACTCTAAAACTTATTGTATGTCCTTATTCTATAAGTATAAGGTCCTTACCGGGTGTAAAGTGGATGTATGGTTCAGGGGAACCTACACATTATGTTGATAGAATGGGGCAGCGCTCATGTTTTTAAAATCATGTTTTATAAATTAATTTTTTACCAAAGTATTTATATGAATGTTTTATACACCGCAAGGAGCACGTTAGGCTTTTTAGCTCACTCTCTAAATTTAAACTTTTAAGATATTATCATATTGTAGGCTAGAAGACTTGGCATCAGGAAGATCAATTGTTCTCCTTTTTGTACCCATTTTATATTTATATATACCTTTTATTATACTCTGGTGACACATGGTTTACTACTATCTTTATGTATCTATATTACTGGTATTTTATTTCTTAACATGTTTTTATACGGGCCCCCAATGTCATTATATGTATATGTTATCCATATGAACTCTATATTGAATATTTTTGTATTTTACCATTATATGTATTTTATTCACTAAAATATTTCACTACGTTTTGAATCTGAAAAGGATTTATGAATACAACATGTGACTGTCTAGATTCAGTCGTAACGTCTAGGTCGAGTCTAGTTACTATATTTTAGTAAAATTAGGAATTAAAGTTTAGGTATTCTATAGTAGTATAGGAGAATTGATTCAAATTTGGTAAAAATATGCTTAAAATTAAGGATGAATTCACGAAATAAGAAAATCATGAAAAGCTAAGGTTCTAAATTGAAAAATAAAAAATTGTTATAAAAAAAGGAATTGAAAACATATTGGTATTCTACGATGGTTTAGGAGCATGTAGTTCAAGGTAAAAATGGACTTAAAATGAAAGAGTAATTGAATGAATAGGGAAATCAGGGACTAAATCGCAATCAAAATAGTCAGCCAAAGTTTTGGTTTTTTGAGTAAATAAAAATTCTCAAATTTGAAATTAACTCAAACTAAAAATCAAATAAATAATTTGATTTGACTAAAATAACTTGAATAACTAAAAAATGGTTTTTCAAGCCTAGTTGAGTTTTGCTAATCCCTGCTTAATTGGATTCAATGTTGCATTACTCAACCTAAATTTTTGTGGCTATGAATAGAGGATTGGTTAACAATTTTGAGCATGCTAAGGGTGCCAGCAAGAACTCCCCTTCCCTTATTTTTTCGTGGTATTGATAAACATTTTTCCAAAATATTTGATGATGTTGCTATTCAGGGACTATTTCAATATCATTTGAAGTGTAATATAGTGAAGATTACTCATTTATGTTTTGTGGATGATTTGTTGACTTTTGGGAAGGTTAACTATGATTTTATTTCGGGCATTTGGACTATTTTTTAGGAGTTTCATACTTCTTTAAGGCTTCAACTTAACGCTTCTATGAGAAAAATGTTTTTCCACCAGGATTGAATATGGGGAGTTGTAATTCATTGTAAAAAAGACTAACGTTAGTATTGTGATAACTCTCCAAAAGAGTTATCTTTTAGGATCTTTTTACCTTGGTTAAACTTGAACTTTTAGCACCATTAGGATCATATTCGAAATATTTTAGGTTTATTTCACCATATTTTGTATCATTTGCGTTATCAAAATAGTTGGTGGAACTTGGGTTATTTTTGTTGTTTTTATACTGAATATGGTACGCTAATGATGTGAAAATGATCTATGTTGTAGGTGATGCTATGAAGTGATATTGCACTAAATCGCAGTGTAGAACTGGAAGCAACTGCTCAGTTGTCTAGCTGTTATAGAAAATTATGGAAAGAGGTCAGCTGTTAGGGCAACTATCAAATAGCCAAATATATTGATATTCATGGACTATTCCTTTTGGTTGGATTGACTATTTTTCCTATAAAATGAGGATGAATTCACACTTTTCACAATCCTTCTTCTTCACAAATTATTTTCTTCCACAAAATTTCTCCTAAACCCTTCGTCAGTACGTGTAGTAGTTGTTGGGGGAGCACTGCCATGTATTAGCGGTGATAGAGTGGAGATCTATTTTAGTTTCCATCCATTTGTTTCAAAAATATAATTGATGGATATTAACTTTGTATATTTCCTTATTTCAAATGTTGTTTGGCTTTGAACTTAAGGGGTTCGATGAAATGCTTTTAATATGATTATTGCTTATGTTTTGTTTTTGTGTGCCGTAGCTTTTATAAGATAAGTTTAGAAATGAAATTATATTTATGTATGTGACTTTAATAATGTTTAGAGGTGAATTTTATTAATTTTGCATACTACTTTCTTGTATCATTGGTATTACAAAAGTAAGTTAGTATATAGAAACATGTGATGCCAATAGTCATTGCATTGTTAACTATTTAATTACTTGTATTGGTAAAAATTGGTTCTAAGTGGTTGAGTAATGCTAATCTTTGCAAGCACATGAATACATTTGCCTCAGTATTACCACAATGAAAACAACCAAATGAAAGCCGCATATGCTAATACTCTGATTTATTGCTCTCTAAATTATTGTTGCACTATCTAACACTTTCTATTCTAATTTTATACCTTTGCTATAACTTTGTTGTTACTCAATCACAACATTCAACTCTTTATACTCAAAGTTAACAATTCTAATCTATGATTCCTTACTCTATGTGGGTTTTGACATCCGATACAACTTGTGTATCCACTTTAGTACTTGATATGCGACTAGTGTGCTTGCATTAATACAGTAGAAATACAAGTAGCATCAAGTTTTTGGTAACATTATTGGTGAAAAATGGTATTGTATTAGAGTTGCTTTATTTTCACTAACATTATTTATTTTACCTTTGGAGGTATCTTCTTTTTCTCGTTCTGATTTGTTGGTTTATATCCCGTCGAGACAATCAAGACTTGTAACATTTTGACCTTGAAATTGAATGTACATTACGTCAAAGACATAGAACAGCAAACTGTAACCAAGAAAACATGAATGTGGATGATGGTAACAATGTTTTTACACCATGGTGAGGAAGAATTGTTGGATGGAAATTGTGTTAATCAACTGAAATTCTACGTCATCGATTACTGCAATAGGCCAATCTGTGAGCACATTATGACTACTCTAGATGATCTAAATCCTGAAATTGTGTGACCTATCATCCATGCTACCCATTTTGAGCTAAAGCTCGTGATATTTCTAATGATGCAGTCAATGGAGTGGTATATCGATCATTTACCAAAGATCCTGGAGCACACCTTAGAGCATTCATGTAAGTGTGTCTCTTTTATACAACAATGAATGCCTAAGGAAGTACTAAAGTTGATGTTTTTTCCTTACCACTCCATTACAAAGCTGAATCATGGCTTAATTCATTGTCACTTGATGTTATAACATCAGAGAATAAGTTAGTACAAAAGTTTTTGTTTTATTTCAACCCTCCCAACATGAATACTAAGCTGATAAATGATCTCACATCATTCAAACAAATGGAGTATAAAAACTTATATGAAGTTTGGGAGTGTTTCAAGGATTTTCTTCCCAAATGCCTGATGCATAGTTTCCAACATTGGAAGCAAATGGAAATGCTTTATAATAGATTGAATATGCAAACACAAATGGTTGTTGATGCTTCTACTAAAGGAGTTTTGTTGGATAAAACCTACAATGAAACTTACGACATCCTTGAAAGGGTATCTAACAATGGTTCTTAATATTCCAACACGAGAAATATATCTGACAGACGTAATGCTGCAATAATAGACAATGATGCTATCAGCATAATGGCCACACAGATGACAACATTGACTAAAATGATAAAACAATATGAAAAAGCTTTGAAGAATATGTAAGGTAAAGGTTGCATCAATTGAATCTTTATTTATTGTGGAGAGAATCATAATTTTGAGGAATTTCGACAAATCTCGAATCAATATACTTCATGAGAAAATATAATAGGAACACCAACACCAATTCATATAGGAACACTTATAATTCCAATTACGATAATCATCCTAATTTGTCTTGGAGAACCTAAAATTTAGATAATCCCAATATAGAATTCCAATCAAAGTTCAGGGCTATGTAACATCAATAGTATCAGCCGCAATAATAAAATGAATAATTGATACCCCATTACCAGTCACAACACCAAATGGTGCAACAACAATAATCCCACAACCAACAAAACTATCAAGGGGAATCTTTTAAATTAGGCCTCTAACACAACATCTCTTGAGTCTCTACTAAAGGATTATATTTCAAGAAATGAGGCGATGAATCAAAGGAATGAAGGTTTGATCAAAAGTTAATCAGTATCGCTAAGAGCATTAGAAAATCATGTGGGGCAATTGGCAAATGCTATGAGTAATAGACAAGAAGGAACATTGCAAAATGATACTGAAGTTCCAAAAGCACATGGGAAAGCTCGTTGTAATAAGAATTCTAAAGCCATCACTACACGAAGTGGCCTCCATATTGGGAATTCAACTAAAAAGTCGAAGAAGAATGATGACAAGAGGCTTGAATACCAAGAGAAAGATAACGAATCATAGGTGGCTATTGAAACACCTACCGTGGATGTTACAATAAAGGATATAGGATAATGTAGTAACTCGATAACATTTCTAGCAAAATATAGACAACACTGTCGCCTGTAATGCTGCCGCTGATTCCTCAAAAACTAAATCCTAGGCCTCTACCACCATGTCCTCAACGATTCAATAATACAAAGGAGGATCAACATTACAAAAAATTCATTGATATCCTAAGGCAATTGATAATCAACATTTCATTGATTGATATAGTGGAGCAAAATCTAAATTACATTAAGTTCATGAAGGAAGTTATTTCTAAGAAAATAAGGCTTGGAGAATTTGAAACCGTTGCACTTACCGAGGGATATATTGCTATGGCTACAAGTCAGTTTCCACCAAAACTCAAGGATCCAGGGAGATCCACTATTTTTTTCATTATTGGTGATCAATTTAGGGAAAGTATTATGTGATTTGGGCATGCCATTGTCAATTTTTATGAAGTTTGGAAGTGGAGAAGTAAGGCCCACCACTGTGGCTTTCTAACTTACTGATTATTCACCATATATCCAAGTGGCATTATGGAAAACATGCTGGCTCGAGTGGAAAAATTCATTTTCCCCATCGATTTTATCATATTAGATGTGAAGTCAACAAGGATATCCCTATTATACTTAATCGACACTTCCTTGTTATCAGCCAAGCTTTTATTGATGTTAAAAGGGAGTTATCACTACGCACTCAAATGATGAAACCTTACTTTCAATTTTTGAATAATGTTTCATATAAGAGTAATAATGTTGAATGCTACTCAGTTGATTTTATTGATGTATTTGTGCATAAATAATGGGATGATTGCCAGAACATTGATACTGCTATGGGTAATACTGTGATAGTAGAATAACTAGATGAGAGTAAGGAGGTTGAAATAAATTACATGAAACACTTTGAATCATTAGAGCATCTATCACAACCTATGTAAGTTCCTCGACCCTCTATTAAAGAGCCACCCACCCTTGAGCTAAAGCCTCTTCCGATCATTTGAAGTATGATTTTCATAGGGAAGAAAAATGTTACCTATGATTTTTACAGCAAAGAAAACACTTATTATAGGAGGAGAAACTGTTAAATGTTATAAGGCAGCATCAACTAGCAATTGCTTAAAGCATGGCTGACATAAAAAACATTAGTTCAACTTTTTGTATGCACAAAATATTGTTGGAAGATCCCAACAATAGTTCAATTGAGCAACAAAGAAGACTGAATCCTTTTATGAAAGAGGTCGTTAGAATGGAAATCATCAAATGGTTAGATGTTGGTATCATCAACCCTATTTTAGACAATAATTATATGATTCATGTCTAATATGTGCCAAAGAATGGCGACGTCACTGTTAGAGCCAATGAAAGAAATAAATTAGTGCCTACACACATCACTACTAGATGTGTATATTCATATATTGTAGGAAGTTGAACAAAGTTACACGCAAGGACCATTTCATGTTGTTGTTCATAGAACAAATGCTAGATAGGCTTGTTGGGAAAGTTTTTATTGTTTTCTTGACGGCTATAGTGGTTATAACCAAATAGAAATCACAACTGAAGACTAGGAGATGACTACTTTCACCTGACCTTATGGTATATTTTCTTTTTGAAAATTACATTTTCGTTTATACAATGCTTCAGCAACGTTTTAGTGTTGTATGATGGCTATATTTTCTAACATGGTTGAAAACTTTCTTGAGGTATTTATGGATGATTTTTCTATTTTAGCCAAAGTTTTGATCAATATCTTGACAAGTTAGCCACTATTTTAAAGAGATGTGAAGAAACCAACCTTGTGTTAAATTATAAGAAATGCCACTTCATGGTGACCAAGGGCATAATATCGTATTTCGCATCTTGGAATTAAAGTAGATAAAGCTAAGGTGGAATTTTTGTGAATTTGTTGCCTCCCATCAATGTAAAAGGAGTTTAAAGTTTCTTAGGACATGATGGAGATTACCGATGATTCATCAAGGATTTTTTTCTAAGATTTCTAGACCGCTTTGTTAATTGCTAGAGAAAAATAGGAAATTTGTTATTAAACATAAAGTTCACCAGTCCTTTGAAACAATCAAACTCAAATTAGTAAATGCTCCTATTATAGTGGCACCATATTGAAATTTTCTCTTCGAACTGATGTGTGATGCTAGTGATCAAGCAGTTGATGCAGTACTGGGGCACAAATTGAATTATTTATCTACCAAGAAATATATTAATTGAGACTAATGTGTTGAGTGTTACTGCTGCAAGAATCTATATTGAAGTAAGAGATAATAAAGGGTCCAAGAACCAAGTGATGGATAATTTCTCTATATTGGAATCAGATAGTAAAGATAGAAAAATACTTGTGATTCTCGATCATTTTCTATATGAAATACTTCTTGCTATTGAAAAATTATCGTGGTACGTTGACTTTGTGAACTATCTCATGAGTAGAATGCTGCTATCTAAACTTAATCACCAATGAGGAAAGAAATTCTTGAGAGATGTTAAAGCATATCATTGGGAGGAGCCAAGTCTTTTCAATCAATGCAATGACCAAAGTTTATGATGATATGTCCTTGAATGTGAGCATCAAAGAATACTGCACCATTACAATGATGCCCATTATGGTAGGCATTTTGAATGCATGTGCACATCAACAAATGTGTACCAATATGGTTATTACTAGCTAACAATGTTTAATGATGCTAATGATTTTGTCAAGCATTGTGACCGCTGTCAAAGGATGGGTACCATCTCTCATTCCAATAAAATGGCAATGCAATCGATTTCGGAGATCTAATTATTCATTGTTTGGAGATTAGATTTCATGGGACCCTGCTCTTTATCTTGCGAAAATATTTACATTTAATTTTTGTTACTATGTTTCCAAATGGTTGAAGTTGCAGTATTAGCTTCAAATGATGTTGAATCTATGTTGAAATCTTTTCATAAAAATAGCTTCACCCGCTTTGGAACTCTAAGAGCTTTTATTAGTGATGAGGGTTCGCTAATGTCTTGCATCGTTATGGAGTAAAGCATTGCATTGTTACAACATACCATCCACAATCCAATGGCCAAGCTGAGATTTTCAACCGGGAAATAAAGTAAATTCTAGAGAAGGTTGAACCCTCAAGGAAGGATTGGTGTTTACACCTTGATGATGCTTTGTGGGAATATTGAACATCCTACAAGTCTCCATTGGGTATGTCTTTATTTCGCCTTGTGTATAGTAAAGCTTGTTATTTGCCCAAGGAGCTAGAGCATAAAGCAATGTGAGCATTAAAAGGCTAAATTTCAACCTTGATGTTATTGGAGAAAAGAGAATTCTAGACCTTAATGAACTTGAAGAGCTCTGAAATATTTTCTATGAGAGTGCGATAATATACAAGGACAATAGCAAAAAATGGAATGACAAGCACATATTGCCATGGCAATTCCATGCTAGGGAGCTTGTGTTGTTAATTAATTACCATCTAAAGTTATTCCTTCGGAAACTTAAATCTCGTTAGTCCAGGCCATTTGAAGTCATTGAAGAATATCCTCATGTAGCATTGTTGTTAAAGAACTTAGTGGATAGAAGGACTTTTAAATTCAATGGGCAACGTTTTACGAAAACACACAAGCCACAAATAACTTTGATCACACTAAGCAAAATCCCAACTCTTTAATTTTCCTTGATTTCAATAAGTCAATTTCTACATTAGATTAGTTTTTTATTTATATTTTTTAATTTTCATGTTTCTCTTTTATTTTTTATAGGACTACCACAACATTGTATGTTGTATCACTGGTTGTTCTTTAGCTTTTGTGTACAACATTTGCTACAATTTTACATGACCTCCACTATATTGGATGCCAATAGCAAACGCCAGTTGAGCGATAAAATTTTAATGGCAAAAAGGTATTAGTGAGTTGTTGCCCACTTTTTCACCCAATCATCAGCACCATCCATTTAAAGTTTATCAAGCCATCCATTATCCTTATCTACTTGTACCTTTCAA